CGATGATCTTCCAAGTTTTCGATGATCTTAACTAATAATTATTAATGTTGATCGAACCGATCAAAAAAAAGGCGATCGCCAACCACATTCACAAATATCGAAATATGATGGCTGATGATTTGATCTACAGACTGGTAACGAATGATGGATGACACCAGTTTGGTGATTGATCAAATGCTCATGATGGAAAGATCTACGCGTTGAAGGGTTGAAGTGAAAAATTGTAGTATTAGATGTCTGCCACCTTTTGTGGCTTAACTAAAACTATTCCTCGTGAATTTTACTAATGAGCACCCATTATTCTAACTCAGTTCTATCTATAACGCGGTTTACATAAACTTTTTTTTTTACTTTGGCTGTCATACACCTGACAAGTTTTGATTGGTCAAAAATTCAGAGGAGGGACTATATTCCCAAAAAAGGTGTTCTCAAACATCTTTCGATGTAGTGTGAATGCGAAAAAAAAAGATGATCTTGATCATCATTTTTTTTCATAACCTATTTTCATTAATTAAAAATTGATCACCGACCATAAAATCTTAATCTTCTCTAACTTTAATTAAACAAAGGAAACTTCCAAAGTTTAAACCCTCCCTTATTCACGACCTACTGTCTCTCCCCAGGTCGTATCAACAACACTGTTAATCATATCGATATGAATTACAGACACTTTAAATATGTTGGCATTATTAATACGACTTTTAATACTTTTAAACAAATAAGGACCTATCAATTACATTTGTTAAATCTCAAGAAAATTAACAAACATAAAAATTTTTCATCATTGCAACCAATTCGCAATTCGTATACTAAGTCTATAAGATCTTTATTTCACAGTACCGCTCATAGACTTAATAAACATTTAATAAAGGAAATTAAGCAGAATCAAAATTCACTAGAAATAAATTGGTCTTCGGATAATAAAGCAATATCAAATTTTAACTATATTTGGTTACGAGATAATTGTCAATGTTCACAATGTATACATCCTGATAATCGACAAAAACTCTTTTTAAGTTCTCAAGTCGCATTAGATATTAAACCTATTACAATTCGTATTTCTGAAGAACTGGAAGAACTTGAAATTACTTGGCCTTCTTCAACTTCGGAAGTGAAATCATCTGATTCTTCTGATAACTCAGTTCATAAAGGTAGATACCCGTTCACATTTTTAAGATCTTATACTTCCAAAAATTCTGCAAGCCAACTTCGATTTTCGGATCAAAAACATATAACATGGGATCGTGATTCAATAAAGTCATCAAAAAATCTTTGGGTATCATATGAAGAATATATGAATCTTGATGAAAGAATTTTTGATTCATTGGAGCAATTATGGAATTATGGATTGATATTTTTGAACAATGTTCCGATTGAGAAAGATAAAATAACAAAGGTTGACCCAATTAGAAAAGTTGTGGAAAGAATTGGAACGCTGAAAGCTACTTTTTATGGTGAACTTTTTGATGTAAAATCTGTTCCGGGTGCTAAAAACATTGCATATACTAGCTTGGACTTGGGATTACATATGGATCTACTGCAAGTATTATATGAAATTATTATTATTCAATTTCAATACCGTAAATATCGGACGCGGGATATTTCCATAAGTTAATTTTATACCTGGGTATTTCATATGGTAACTCACTAGGGTTGCGCCTCAACTAATAAATCAAATTTATGTTGCTTTAGTCCGTTTGAACCAAGTTCAGGTTCAAGTGAACCCGAAATGGTCAACTTGAGCCAAACTTTGGCTCTCAAGGTTCTCAAGTGATCCTGAAGTTTTTTTAAAAAAGAAATTAATTTAATATGAACCATTTCGGGTTCACTTGAGTCAAAGTTTAGTTGAACCAATTTGGGTTCACTTGAACCTGAATTTGATTCAAGTTGAATCATAGAATACCGAGAGCTTGCCTGGGAGGTTCGATTTAAAAACGAGTGAACTACGTTCTTTGGACAGAGTTTGCCGGTCTATAGTACCAAAAGAGAGTTAACTGTGTCAGTAGATGTACAAATTGCAAGGTTGGAATCTACCTAGGAAAAATACAGAAGCTTTAGTAGAAAATAAGTTACTCAATTGCCATAAATAGTCACAATCAATGCTCTTGGAAAATGTATATTAAACACTTAACAATAGCGAGCACAGCGTTAGGTATTCTATTCCGACGTAGATGCTGGTTCAGATGTAATATTAGTCAATGGAATTAACACAATTAATGTTACTATTGTCCATCAAAGACTCAAAAGATACTTTGAAGCAGTACCTTTGCTTATGGAAATATAGCAAAATAATGAATATAAGGATATACAATAGGTATTGCTACATTGCTTTTGGAAGAAATTCAAACCTTTACTACTTCAACTCCAATAAAATCCGTACGTTTAGTCACATCACGAGAAATGGTCGTACAAGTGTTTCCATAAAACTAGAAAATTATGGAGAGAAACAAAAAAAACACTATTGAAAAACTTTCATAGTAAATAATCTGAATTTTCCAGAGATAATCATTCTCTCGTTCTTTTATGTCATTGTCGGGAAAGGTTTTCACCATGTGCATCAACATTTGATTTAGATATATCCCAACTAGTGATGCGACCCAAACCTAGTAGTTTCGGCACTTGCCGTATCCCAAACTGGCAAAACTGGGTTGGGACTTATGCCGTAATTGTCCCAAACTAATTATGTTTGGGATTTCGGCATGAATCTCATAATGCCGTAATGCCGTTATTTTGCCGTGAATAGCTTGGGTCGCATCACTAATCCCAACAAGCCAAGAAAACATTAAATACTAAATAAAGAGGTACTTGCAGCCCTAATGTTTTTAATTAACTGCACTATATAAGATATTTTTTTTATAGATATTAAAAATTAAAGCACATTTTATTAAAGTACGATCTTTACGTATTTACAAAACTAAAAGATTCACAATATTGATAGAGTAGTTAAAATTTAAAGTAATTTAATATATTAGATTATCTGTTTTTAAAGTCTAACTCTTTTACGAATATTGTGAATTTTTTATAATTCTTTAAAATGTAAACAATAAACACGTCACTGGTGATATCGACATTTTTGAGATATTAGTGAAAAAATTCAAAATGTCGATATAGTGAGTTATACCGACATTTTATATTACAATTTTTGAAAAAAATGTCGGTATAGAAAGATTTTACTATGATGTCGTTATATCCAGATGTCTGTATATCCAGAGTGACGTGTTTAAATTGAATATTTATAAAATATGCTATAATTTTCTAATTACTATCTATATAAAATTTTATCGTGTAACCTAAAAATCTGCGAAATCTTCAACCCATTCCTTTAAATTAGGTTTACTCCATCATTTTACTCTGGATCATTTTATAGCTACTCTGGGTTAGCCATATTTTAAACTAACTCTAACTTGTGTTGGGTTCTAATCTGAAGTACTCCAGAGCAGGCTGTTCCATATTTGATTTATTGGTTGAGGTGCAACCCATATCTAACTGGTATAATACATATGAGTGCTGCCAAGGGAAAAAGGCCGATCGGACTTTTAATATATTTTGTGAACAGTTAGCCGTCTATGGAAAATTTATCATTATAATAAATTATTTATAGACAGTTAACTGTACACAAAATATATTGAAAGTCCGATCGACCTTTTTGCCTTGGCAGCACTCATATAGTATCTATAATACTTATGTACACGGGTATAATCACCGCCTAGCTCTTAAAATTGATAGAGGTACTCGTGTCCGGTATATAACAACATGAAATAATCTGTTTAAATTTTTTTAATTAGATATTTTGAATCACCACCGGGCCTTCAATTTCTACATTGTTTAAAGAATTCTGTAAAAGGTGGTTGTAGCATATTTGCAGACTCCTTTACAGCTGTACAAAGGTTCAAATCTGCGTATCCAGCTGATTTTTTGCTTCTAACTCAGACTCCAATAACATTTCACTATATAAATGATGGTCATCATATGCACTATAATCGTCCCATAATAGCTATGGATCAATTTAATGAAGAATTTTGTGTAAATTATGCACCACCATTCCAGGGACCTATCGAATCACTCTTACCTGAACATCCGTTGTTTTATAACGAAGAAAATGATAATAAAATCTTTCAATTTTATCAAGCATATATAAGATTTTGTTCGTTTATCGAAGACGACGATTTAAAATTTAAACTAACACTAAAACCAGGCGAGTTAGTGATATTTGTAAATAGGAGAGTATTACATGGAAGAGCTTCATTTGATCAACAAAGTGGTGAACGACATTTGAAAGGAGCATATTTAGACTTTTGTGATTTTAAAGATAAATTTAGAGTTTTAAAAGCAAAACAACAAAAACAAGGGAGATGAAAATAAACCAATAAAACAGCGGCGTTTTATAGGTTGGAGTCTTAATTATTCATAAAATTTTAGGCTTTAATATTGTAAAGAACTAATCTTTGCTTTCTATTATACAGTTTATCTTAACATTGTAATTTTTTTTTTTTTTTTTTTTTATAATGCCAAAGTAGAAACTTTATTATTGTAATAATAGTTGTATTACATGAAAGATTTCTAAACTACATTTGTGCTACTTAAAAAGTCACCCAATGCCCATTTCCTATAATGCTATTATTAATTATTTCAAATTAATTTCAAGCCAGGATAGAGAAAACCTAAGTTAACATTGTAATTGATTTATAAAAGTTTCTAAATTCAATTTTATTATAAATTCTGCTGGTACTGTACTATTTTAACTTTTTTTAAGTATATATATTTCTAAATTATATTGCAGAAAAGTAGAAAATTAAAATTCTAACGCAGTAAATTTCTTTTTGTTTTTATTTACTTTGATATTACCTACAAACTAAATGTGACAATTTTTTGGGATTCGTTTTTCGAAAGCAAATAATACCAATTTCCCGATCTTGATTATTAATGCAAATAAATAATGAATAGAACATTTAAGATAATTTAAAATATTTATAACTTGAATTATATAGCTTGCAATTGAATATTAATGGTTGAGTTGTAATTGTTAATGATAGTAAAATGAACACTTCATGGGTCTAGTACTAATAATGCTAAAATCTCTTTGCAATGATTTATAATTCCAGCTCTCCTTTATTGAAATTTCACAAAGCTATAATATTGTAACTTCGTAACTTCTGCATCTCGCACAGATAAATATTTCCATTTTGATTTAATGATGTATTCGAAGTTGTTAAAATTACTGTGAAGGTCCACATTCCCGTCACTTATATTGATCCAATTTCCATCAATGTAAAATTGTGTTTATTAGAATAGCTCAAGACTTTGTTCTTCTCGATATGAACATAAAACATATATTAATATTTGGATCTCTGTTAACTGTATAAAAAGTAATAAAAAAAAAATGGCGAAAACATGATATCTCATCTCATAGTGTTTAATCGATAACACTCATGAAGCCGTTATCACAATATATCATGATATTAATGATTCAACTAGAGCGTTATCCTGGAATCGTTACTAGGTATCTAGCCAACGTAACTTCATTAATATAACACTCAACATGTTCAGTAAGAACCTTGTAGAAACCAGATAAATCGAAGATTAATATACCAGGCTTTCTGAGGGGTGCTGGTCAAAATCCCGACAAAAAAATCCTGACAGTAAAAATCCTGACAACAAAAAATTATTAAGTTCATTTAAGTTAGAGTAGGGTTAGATGAGTGCATAGGTTAGGGTTAGGGTGTGCGCTTAGGTTAGGGTTAGGGTTTAGGCGATTATATAGTAAAATTGCTCAAATGAACACTTTTTTTTAACCTCCCTAGCGTCGCCCAAAGATCAGTTACGTACCGGAATTTAAAATATATACTGGAATTTAAAATTAAATACCG